TCACCTCATCCCCGTCAATATACCCCCGCTTCACCACACTTTTCCATTCGAATTTTCTACTGTTGAATTATTTTCTAAAAGCATAGTCTCCGCAGTTTTTCCACTGCATCAAACTTAGTTCCTGTCAATGCTTACTTCACTAACTTTCTTCGAAAGCTTCTGATAAGTCCTCTTCCAACCATTGCTTGAAAATATTAGCTTCTATGTATTTATTCGAAATTGCGATACGACTTGGAGATGCTATTGCCAGCACGAGCTTCTCGGTGAGAACTGACATACCATATGGCGGCTGGCCAGAAATTATGATACAGCGGGAGCAAAAAGTGAGGGACAAATAATTTGATAGAGAATCTCAAATATTTCTGTTGAATGACCGAGTCATGAGTTTTGAGAATAAAGTAACATAATATATAATTAAATGCTTAACCTAAAAGAAGAAAAAATTTAAATAAACTAGGAAGGAACGAGGAGTGAATACATTGGATTACACGAAAGAAACAATTCTTTCGAAACAAATACTTTTATATGAACACTGAGTTATGAATTTTTAGATTTTTTGAACTATATTTATTTAGTTTAATATGCTATGAAAGCCCGTTTTTTAGTCTTTTTAAACTATATTCATTTCATCTAAACTTTGGGAACAATCAACCGTATATTGTTTAGAAAATGACCATTGATATTTTCCGATTCCGGAGAGGGATCCTGAAAATCAGCTACCAAGTCCAAGGAAGACAGCATGCGCGCATAAGAGAGTTACAAATAAGGCAGCAGGCGCGCGTGTTAATAAAAAAATAATACTTTTTTCAAATGAAAAAATTCATGTAAAGTGAGTTCGAATTATATCAAGCAGGTTACGTACAACGCCATCTGCCCGCGAATAGATCAAGCAATAATGTTGATAATTCTGGAGTTACAAACAAACTGACAAACAAACAAACATACATACATACAGGTGAAGCTAATAAAAGCGTATTAATTATTAAAAACGAGGGTTATTTTGGTGAAAAATTTTAGATGTGCAGAAACAAACCGCAACCTAAGCGGAAAGTCTAAAGAAATTAACTGGTAATATGGCAAAAAAAAATCCGAAAAATGTTGAATTTGATTAAAATAATACCAAACTACAAAATGATGACACAGCTCTGGAGTTTATATAATCATAATCTCTGTTATACCTTTTCGAAATATAAGTCTATTGTCATTGCCTATGAGTGACTTATAATCAAAAGACAATCACCAATCTGTGATTTTGTTGATATCTGATCAAAAGGCATTGTGAAGTTCTGTAGTATGTATTGCTTTTATATCATCATAGATTATATAGCGTTGTTTGCGAATAAAGTGAATAAATACTCTAAGTCAATAGTTGAGTCGTTGATGTAAAGAAGAAATAGGATCCAGAATGAAACCTTGTGGTACTCCGTGGTTATATGAGAGTTGAAAGTTTTTAGATAATGTCCAAGATTTAATTACTTGACTTCTACTTGTTAGATACGGTTTGAACTATTGATTAGTAATACCCTCAAAAGCTTTGAAAGAATCCCAAAAGACTGCAGCAGCCACCGTCCGTATATTAATGTTTTCAGAAACTTCATAGAGAAATAGACTTTCGAATAATTTTGGTGATGGAATGAAAGAAACAGAACGATAATCCGGAGGATATTCTCGATAACCACCTTTATGATGAAGGAATACAATTGAAGCTTTTAGAAACGAGGGAAACATCCCAGTTCGATAGACATGGTTAAGAGACTCTGCCAATGAATCTAGAGCCGAAACAAAAAGAGATTCAAAATTTTGTATTGATAATTCATTAATTCCATATGTCTAATTTTTCAATGAACGTGTTATCATCCGCAACTCAATAGTGAAATATGTTTCAGCTATTCGTCTTATTCTACTTTTTTGCTTTCTGCTTGTTCCATTCTTCTTTTTTTACAACCTGACTCTTTCGGTTCTTCTTTTTTTGTGTTCTTACTCTTCCAGTTCTCTCACCATTACATGTTTTTGCAGTCTCAGCAACTTCTTGCTGCACTTGTTTTCCTTTTCTATTATGTTACGTTGTCACAACGTTACAAAACTACATTGCAGCAACCATGAATGTGAAAAAATAAATGGACCCAGCAAATCAATACCTATGGCACAGATTGTGTTGAAGTCGCTACATTCGTGCGGGTTACGGAAAAGAGGAGATTTTCCCCTCGCCGATAGTAGCACACACAATTTAGTTAATTGGGCGCAAATACTGTAAACTGAGAGAAAACTGCGGATCTCAAGTCTAATTTCAGAAAAGAAAGATTTCTTTTATCATAATAAACTTCAAAATTTGGTTAAAGGAATAGATGCTTTTTTTGCTTTCAGAAAGAAGGTATCATGTCTATTGAATTCTCGAATCTATTATGAAATATATATATGTTTATGCAATAATTTGAATCTGTGGCAGTTGCCATAAAACACACTGCACTTTTAATACAAGATAGTATCATTAAACAGGCAACTGATTGTTTCGATTCGATTTTTTAAATAATATTCCAGTTGTAGTACCTTTTTATACTGACATAGTGACAACTGCCCAACGGTGAATATACTTACACGAAGAGATAATAACTTAATGAAATTAATTCTGAAAAATGTTTTTTCTTATCTCCCATTAGATATTTATAATCCATGAGTCACAAATTTGGCTCATTTTGTGAAATCATTATTTTTTTGCTTTATAATGTTCACCTCATCCCCGTCAATATACCCCCGCTTCACCACACTTTTCCATTCGAATTTTCTACTGTTGAATTATTTTCTAAAAGCATAGTCTCCGCAGTTTTTCCACTGCATCAAACTTAGTTCCTGTCAATGCTTACTTCACTAACTTTCTTCGAAAGCTTCTGATAAGTCCTCTTCCAACCATTGCTTGAAAATATTAGCTTCTATGTATTTATAATAGTCATCCTTCACTTCGTCCACAATGCACAATGATTAGTCGCGATCCTTTGTTTGCAGGCATGTTAGGCGTAACTGTGTCGTGAGTGTCATACCAAGTTTTGTCCAAATAGAAAATTTGCCGTAGTTCTTGTCTATATTTAGTTATTTGTTCTAAGTATTTGTTACGCAGTTCCACTATTCTTCTGCTTTCCATAACTGCTTCACGTTTGTTTATTATTTTAAGTCTAAATCCTAGTTTCTTTATCCAATTCTGAAGAGTTTTGTTACAATAGCTCACAATATGGCCGAAAGTATTCAATTTCGTCCTTATGATTTCAGTTGTAGGAATCTCATTGCTTTTGTAACAGTCGTATATTGTTTTTTTCAATGATTTTATCAGATGAACATCTAAAGGTTTTGGTAATCCTGTATCACATTTCGTCTTGCGTTCATGTTTTGACTATTTTACGTACAGTTGAGAAAGGAATTTCGGTCAAATCTGATGTTGTTTGTTTCCCTCGAAACCAAACTTGACATGTAGATTCTTATATACATTGAAACATACTCTCTGTGTTTCAATATTCAAATGCTTACGAATCTTATTCACTGGTATCTCTTTTTCGCATTTTTCAACATCGCTATTGGAATCACTACACTAAAAAAGTCGTTATTACTATTATTACTTGTACAAGAACGCACCAATACCGAATTTCAACACTCAAATCGCGATAAGTAACTGAACTGAACACGACGGCGATATCCATCCCCGCATTTCCGATTTCTATTTGTCACGGTAACATGACTTCAAATTCAATTTTATTACTCCTCAGCCCATCATGAAACTCGGTTAGTAAAAATTATCCAATACGAACCGCAAAGTCTACAGTCCACGTGGACTAGTTCGCTGCCGGTTCATTTCTATGTATTGGTTTTTTTGACCTTTGAGAGTGCCGCCAACTTCAAGAGTGCACAATATCGTTTACTTTGACTATACTAGTATAGGAAGACTTGGCAATATGACGTTTGACCTTGAGGCTCAGAGAAAACTAGTATTTTCTAGCCGTACTTCGTATATTCAGTGGAGTATCTAAATGTCTTTGGGAGATTTATAGGTAAAATTATATCTAGGAATAGTATGACTGATATTAAATGTTGACAACTAAATAATATTGTCTAATTAACCGATGTACATGGATTATAAAATCTAAGAATTGAACTTATTTAAACAAAACAACTATATCTAGAGTTATTGAAAAGCAGAAAAATCATGTGGACATTCTATTCAAATGTCCGTTCCTGAAGTCTCTGTCATAGAATGAATCCAAAACAACCATTGCTCTCACACACCAGACGTGTGCTCGTTTCACCAACAAAGTTGACATCATCAGGAAATGACCTATAGTATATTCAAACCCTTAATGATGCCAGCTCGACTGAAAAAACGCGCGTCGAGAAGGGTGTTACAGTTCTAGTTCGTGGAAGCAATCTGTTTTGATTTAGTGCCAAGTTGATGAAATAAAAAAAATATTTATGCATTTGAAAACACTCCCGAATGAATCACTTATTATGGAATTGTTATGTTAGACTATTCAGATACTGTTGCTCTAATTATGAGCTAATATCAAGCCAAGCGATTCATTGTATGAAACGAGAATGTGTACATTACCCAGCAGCGCATCGAACAAATACTAGCACAAAGTATAGTTTTACTTGAACTTTGAACTATTTTTCATGGCCTTCTTGATGATACAATAGATGTACATGATGATAATATAATAAAATAATAATGAAAAATCTTATTTTATTTTTTTGATATATTTATAAATAATATCATAAATCACTCCAATCTCAAAACCTTGTTGCTTTCGAATTTTATTCAAAATGATAATGTCTTGAATTGAACGGTCACGTTAATAGGTGTGGGGGTAGGACCCAAACTCATTGACAAAACTGTGAAGTATCACAGAAAAGTAAGGAAACTTTCCTTTCTTTTAAAGAAGTTTTTTATAGAAGGTACTTCACAAGCTTGCTTATCTCATGAGAACACAATGGATTTCTAAAGGTGCTTACATTTTTCTCGTGTTGATATTCAAATTTGCCGAATGAATATTATTACCCGGGCAAATTTGGCAAAAATCGTGTAGTTCACACCATGCAGTTAGTAAAATAGAATAATGTGTATTTCTTACTTGGTGAACCATCGTCAGGTCCCGGACTCCGCAGCCTCTTGAGTGGTCTACGAATACTAGAAGGCTTGTTTGGTTCTAAAAAACCATTTGGTTGATGCTGTTTGTATTTATCAGGAGTACTGACAGTGTTTGAACCTCCAGGAAGTAATTTGTCGATGGGCGTATTAAGGATAATATCGTTCTTCTCTGATTTGGAATCTTTTTCCGCATTTTCAACCAAAAAATCATCCGGCACGTTCGCTATATTCTTCGATATTGTCTTTGTCAATGAAATTTCCTGAAAAAAATTAAATTGTTTACATGAATTTCAATAAGAACAGTAAACTAAATTTTTTAAAGCGACATTTTACCTTAGTCGCCTCTATAGGTATGGTCATGCTGGAGTTATTCAGTTTCAGGGTAGACCCTCTGTTTTTTTTAGACAGCAGCAGCAGGTATGTAGCTGTATGATAATCGTATTTCCACTTCTTCAAATGATTCCACATCACATCCTTATGTACATGATTTTGACTAGCCATTAACTCGACGCATTGAGCGTCGTAACATTTTACGTTTTCTGATTTCAATTCGACGGGATCTAAAATACCCAAAGTAAGCCAAGGGTGAGAAAGAAGTTCTGTGATTGTTATTCTCTTTTTCGGGTCGACTTGAAGCATAGATTTTATCAAGCTAGAGCTCCCTTTAGATAAAAACGGCGGTTCTTCGTATTTTCCAGTCTGCAAAAAAAATAATATTTAAGAGCAAAATATATTGACCAAGCAAAATGGATTTTTTCACTTGAACCTAACGAAAATACTCCTACACATCAGTACTGAGAAAATACTATTCTTGATTAACACTTGGTCGGTGAGTAGCCGGTCGGTTCGACATGGGTGCCTTGTTCACTAACTCGAATTGACCGCCGTGATGGTCGGTGGTTCAAGCCCCAGGCTGAACGATCGATTTTCACTTGCTATCTTCCAACCCGTGTTAGGAACCACACGTTAAAAGATAAGACCTCGTTAATCCTTATCTCGCACAAGTTTCGACTTCTAAGCGTTGTCGTTCGTAGGGGTGCCACAGCTGGTTAACGAAAAAACAGATTTTAAACAGATTTTTTCAAACTTCACCAACCAAGTCTTTTTACTTGTGTCTGAGTTTATTTAAATAGATGTTCAAAAACAATTCTTTTCATTATCGTTATAAGATTTTGTAGAATGTACGCAATGCTAGACTGAATGTTACCTCCATAGATTTTATTTGAAACATTTGATGTTGTAGGCATCATACAAGGTTAAGCTGATACAGGTTGTTATCTATTTTATAAGGTTGCCAAGATATACCTATCCTAAATTGAATGACCCCTCAGGCGTTTCAAGTACTACTAGCAAAATCATTTTGGTGAATAGAGAAATATACATTATTTAATTTTTGGTTTCAGGAAGCGGTCTCTAACCGTAGCTGATATCCTAGAAGAAACCTACCTCTTGATAAAGGAGGAGATGGCGCATAAGATTTAGGCGACGAACAACTTAAGGTCCCAGAGTTCTGGAAGTAAAGACAATGTTGTTAACACTACGGGATATACTTCCGAAGACAGAAATACCAAAAAAAAGTTCAACACTCAAAAACACTCAACCACACTGAGAAAAAAAAGTTGATGAACCGGAAACATTCATAAGGCAGGTGGGTTGTGCATTTCCGAAAAGACAATAGAACAGCTCAATGAAAGATGATAGATAAACCGGTAATGAAAAATATGAAAAGGGGAGCTATGTGCAGTGCCTGTGATGAAAAAACCGTACTGACGGGGTTCGATGGGCAGACAATGCAGTTCTCTGATTTCTAATGAATTTGAAATAAATCGAATGACAACATTCCGAAAGAGAAAAGCAAAGTTTGCATTTCGCAACATAGTCTAGTGAACAAATAAAATTTATTAATGAGAGGAAGTGATCTACTATATAATCATTTTATCGTGCTGTGTTGATAAGGAATAATTGGCACACCAATAATATTTTGGTAGCTGTAACCAGTGCCTGGTTATTCGTTCATCTATTTCCGCCTATTTTTCAGGCAAACCTGGGAAACCAAAATAAATATTTAGTGAAACAGGTAAAAGTACTGAAGAAAAGTAGAGGAAATGGTTACGAAACAATGTGATGAAAAATGATAGTTTTAACACTATCACAGATTGAAAACATTAAACACAGTTAAGATCCACAACATCAAATAGTAATTTCACAAAACGGGGTTTCAGTAATTTCTTTAGAGAACTTGATAACTTCAGACGATCAAGATCAATTGGTTCACGGTCATGTTGTTCAGTATGAACGCCTCTCTATACAGGGTGTAACTAAATAAGTGTAAAACATTTAAGGAGGTGATTCCTCATCGAAAAAAAAATTGTTAAGATACAACCGCTTAAAGGGGGTACATAAAATTTGTATAACAATTTTTTTCACGAGCACTGAAAAAGTTACAATATTGAAATTAACCTGACGTTTTGTACTACTAGTCTGGTTCACATGTACTCGATTTAGCTCTTTTTGGTGACTTTTTTCAGCCCTGTCCAAAAATTACGACCAAGGTGTCATTCGATTCGTATTTTTGCCTAGAAAGTTTATGTAAAGTATTACGATTTATTTAATTAAAATTATATAAACAATGTTAATTAGCGAAAATGTAAAATGAACTTTTGAACCACAGTTTACAGTGTTATGCTTCCTCATATTCTGTTTCAGACAATTCGTTGTCCTCTGCAAGAGAAATTATTATAGGCTCTATTCTGCTTATACATTTTTTCCAATTTTCTGTTGTTACTTCAGATATTGATTTATGGAAAAGATAGGTCAGATCTGATAATTCATAATTTGTTTTACTTCGAGCAATAATACCGTTGACTTGAGTCCATATCAATTCAATTAGATTCAGCTCATGATGGTAGGGTGGTAGGCGAAGTATTTCAATTCCTCGTTTTTTGGCTGTCTCCTCAACGACATATTTTTTTAAATTTCCTTCAGGAATGTTGGCAATGGCTAATAATTCTGCTTTTGTCATTGTATCGTTGAATATTAATTTCTTAGAATTGAATTGAATTAGAAATTAACGAAGTTGCAATTTTATTTTTCTTGCATTGAGTAGTAGGAAGCTCAACTAATGTGGAGTAGTAACTCATAATGTATATCACAATAACTGAACTTTAAGGTATAAATTTAATCATTTGTTCGAAATATTCTTCGAACAAAAGTAGACCCTCATCAAGAATCTATTTACACAACCAATATGGGTAACAATTAGTCGTCAACCCTTACGTCTTGGTTTCTTGAGACCAGTTGCACATTCTTGTAGAAATGCTTCTAGAGCTGTTTTTGTCTTTCCAAAGTCTTCCTACAGAATGTTCCACCCACGTTTCGTCTAAATAATAAACGTTCTCGTTTTCTGTCCAATTTTTTTTTCTTCGGTATGTCCAACATACAATATCTTCGGAATTGACAAGCATCGACAAGTTTTGTTCTACTTTTTGTGGGCAAATCAGGGTCATTGGTAATAACTTGTAAAACTTTATCTAAAGTTGGTATTTGTTTGTTAAAAAAATAATGGATATCCTACGAACTGCATTATTTACCGGCTTCACTTTTGTTAATTTTGGTTTCTCTGAACTCGATTTGGGTGAGGTTATACCAGCCGATTTTTCTTTTCGAATTATACATACAATTGATTTTCCACATAACATTGCTGTAGATATTTCAACTATATATACTTTCAACAATATTGGAAGGATTCTGTTGTTTAAAATAATTGTAGACATTCAGTATAACGCTCATTTCGTTAAGTGATAAATGGTGCACCTTCAATTTTTTCACTGAACTATAATCACAATTACGTCAAATCGCTTCACTCGCCTATAATCGACTGGACAAAACTATTTTGATATTAATGAAGGAACCCAAACAAATAATGTAACTTCTGAAAATACCCTGTGACCAGGATAATACTCATTAGTCTATTATTCTAACAATAGCAAGTAAATACATTTTATGATAATCTGGGTGATGTGCGAAATTTTATATTTAAATAGTCCAAATTAATGAAAATTAGGCTGAAATATTACTGTTGTGTGATAAACACACATACCAAAATTTGCACACCGAATTAGTTTGTTTTCTGAGTATTTATTCTTTCTCTACAAGTTTCTCCCGTTATTCGATAGCCTTCTACGGGCCTCCCTTGGCGCTCGAGTATACTGCAAAGAATCTCCAGTGAAATCACCCGCCCAGCATTGTCGGGTTCGTCAATGGAGATAATTTACCCGATTGGGTTGGATGTAAGTAAAGGCCTCACAATAAATTCCCTATATTTTTTCAAGGTCAGACTGTCGTCGGATATATGGAATATGATTAATTAAGGTAATGTTTCGGAAGACCCCTTTCTTCAGACACCGGTAATGGAGTTCATATATCCGCACCCAAAATAACTCAAAGGTTATTATTGTTAATGATCTCCCAAGAAAATGACCAGTTAACCGTTCAGAATTTAGTTTTTTGCTGATGACAAAGACCATCATAGTGGACTCGTTTAAATATTTGAGAAAATTGATGTGATTGGCTGTAACTATATCAACATTTACGATGAAATTTTTGCCTCGACTGTTCAATTCAAGCTCGACCTCTTCAAGTTGTTCATCCATTTTTCCAATAGAAAATGTTGAAAAGTGAAAATCACAAAAGTTTCATTTGAATCTTACAATTAGGATACAAATTACCCATATTCAACAGTTTTCATTTCATCAATTATGCTGTCAATGATGAAGTTATTATCATAGATGAACACTTCAATCTAGCAGACCACTATTATAATCTTCATGCAGTCATTGTTCACTATGGTTCTGGCGTTGAATCTGGCCATTATTACACATTGGTCAAAGATGAAACAGAATGGATTAAGTTTGACGATAGTCGTGTCACTGAGTGTTGTGGTGATGTCTTGATTTATTGGAGCCTCTGGAGACACCCTACATTTTGTTTAACGAAAGAGAGGACATTGGCAAATCAAGATATTCAGATGATGTAGTGCTGCAGGTTTTTCCGGGTTTTCCTGCAGCTGAAAAAGCAAATGCGCCACTGGAATCAATAAAGTCGCTCCCGAGCGCCAATTAATTCTGGTTGAATGGAAGTTTTGGAATCAATCGTTCTATCTGTTACTGCGGCAGACATCATCAGTGCATGCGCCTCGACTGCAAGGACGAGTTATATATTGAAGTATGAATCAGTCGTGCTAAGAATTCAAAATATTACCTTCCTCCTTGGAATCAAAGCACATAAAACTGATGATTTATGTCATGATGAACACGACACAGATTCTATGACCATGGCATGCAAGCACCATTGTTGTTCTCTCTAATTCAAATATAACCAAAGTACAATTCAAATATTTTCATCTTTTTGGTAATTCTATTCTTTTTACTAAATATTTATGTTGTATTACATGATGGAATAATTAAGAACTTTAGTCTTTTTTTTCAAGGTTACGTGAAGTCGGAAATCTCCATTGCACAAAGATCATTTCTTTGGTTATTTATTGAAGCAGCACTGGCAACACTGAGAAGTATACCTGTGAACCTGTAGCTGAATCATGGCCGGAAGTAAACAAAAATGGTGTAAATTAGAAAACTAATGTTTTTGTCAACATTTTCGAGAATGCTTTTCTGCGTAATGGTGACACTTTGGAGGCTGATATTGTTGGTATATATATACTTCATTTCACTATTTGTTAGTAGTAGAATGCCCGTAGAAATCTTGAAGATTGAAATTCAAAGTGAAGAATAGCTCATTTTTGAGTTTTCTGTCTTTGCGTTCGTATGTTAAACATCCCTAGTGATTTTTGCCTTGGGAAAAATTGCGTTCAACAAATGTTTTGCTTGTCTATTCTGACAAATAAATGAAAATTACAAGATAACCTAGCTTTCATGTAGGTAATACAAAATGTTTTGATTATGAAGTATGTTTTTATCAAATATAACAGTGAAAAATACCCTTGATCGCAATTGTTCCACAGTAATGAATTGTTTGTGATTATCAATCAATTCATCAACCTAGGACATTCAAATGAAAGAAGATTGAAATAGGCTAATCAAAAAATACCCAAAATCAATTAGAAGTGAAACTTCAAAAAATAATTCCAAATAGGGGAAATATAGTGGAGGTATCAAATGAGCAAACTCTTTTTCCATATTTTACTGCAGAACATATTTCAAAGTAAATTATGGGAATATACTTGTCGACTGATGGAAAGAACATTGAAAACTATCCATTCCAGTAATTGTCCTTGGTCTATTAGATACAGTGCATGATTTATAGAAACTCGAATTAGTACCTTCCTAACTATTCCCTACAACATTTCCAGATCACCTTTACAAGTAGTGAATTTGTATTCCTGTTTGAATGATGACCTAGTTATTTTGTAGAAATTCATATTGAATATAGGATAAAGAAAATACTTTTGTCTAATTTCAACTGAGTTTACTATTTGTTACGACCGGTTTCGGTTTGTTAGAATATTCTCAAGTAACTGGAAAGTAACTTAGTTACTTGAGAATGAGATCATTCTCAGTTACTTAAGAATGGTCTAACAAACCGAAACCGGTTGTAACAAATAATAAACCAAGTTAGTAGACTTATGATGTACTGTTTAGAATCTTTGGTGTAGTAATGAATATTACTGGAGTTTTTTCCCAACACCAAATCGTTATTTTTAACACCTCGACACGTGTTTCGATCACCATGTGATCATCTTCAAGAGGAAGATAAAACTGGATCTTCCTCTTGAAGATGATCACTTGGTGATCGAAACACGTATTGAGGTGTTAAAAATTACCTAAATTTTCAATCCATTTCCATTCAAGTTACAATAATGAACTCTTACCTTCACATTTCATAATAATTGTTTATTTTTGTCCATATTTGATATTATCATACATTGAACTAACTCCCCTGAATATTTTGAAGCCAGTATTTTCAATATTTCATTCATATATCTTCACAAAGATTTCGAAAGTGTTTTAGACAAATGTTAACATTCAACAAAGAATCTTTTCAAAAAAATCAAAAAATTCGTTCCATTGAGTAGACGAGTAGAATTTATAAAATATGGCCTATATACGACACTGGCTATGAGTAATAACAAGCATACATCAAATGCTCAGGTGAATTTGAACGACTTATGAGAAAACATAATAGCTTTGTAAATATTGAAATTTAGTAAAATTGTAAGCAAAATCATTGCCTTACACATTCTGGAACATAATCATTATACTAATTTGAGCTTTGTATTCCCAAAATACCTAGTCATGAGGCTTTGGGTCATAGAGTATATAGGAAACCGACTGAAATGTCTGAAAAACTCCAACCAGCAGCCATGACAAAAGATTTCTCCCTGAAGAACTTATTCATCTGAAACATACTGTCAAACTGAATTCTAGCGAGCAACAAGATTTAGAAGAGAATGCCAAGTTAACCAGATAGAGCTATCGATAGAAAAGCTCTCCTGTTCTATGGTAAGAATGTTGGGTGAATTATGTATTCAGGCCAACAAAAACCATCAGAGAATCAGCTAAGCTTCATAGACTCTTCAGCCACACCGATGTATACCTACATCCCTTGAAGCTGCGAGTCGGTCTACATTAGAATAATGAAAATAAGTGTAAGTACCCGACTCACTGAACATACGAGAAATTGTCGCGTCAGGCAAATCTATAAATAAAATGCACTCAGATAAAGTACCTACTTTATCGAATTTGAAGAGACCCAAGTATTTGATACAACTCAGAGCTACTATCCATGGCATAGGGAAGCGATAGAAATTCCGAAACACACATAGACAATTTCAACTGATAGGAAGTGGGAATTAACAAATAATGCACTACAATGCACATGTATCAGGCCATTTCATTCAGTTAAGGCCAATAAAAACGAAGCGGCACCTATCACTAATGGAATAAAACAGTAGGTCCAAACCTTGAAAGATGTAGTATAAGGATAAATAGAGCACTTTGCCCGTTACCTCACCACCTTTAATAATGCCTACCGCAGTCGTAGATGAAACGTCATGCATAAACACGGAATATAGCTTTTTACATATTTTAGTGTTTGTATCATATGCAAATTGAAAAGAAATTGATATGCATTTATTAAATAAGCTGTTCTACACCAGTCTATCAATTAGCCACATGCAAAATAAGCTGCACAATTAGCTGGAAGTGTGTATTTTTAAGATATTTGAGAAAAACTTGTTTGTGCTTTCAAAATATTAACATTAAGACAATACAATCACAGTTTGAGTGTGGTACAAGTTTTAAGCTTGGTTCAAAAAAAAATCAAGGTTTGCAAGGCGACTTCGTTGAAGTCCTAAATGTTGGAAATACTAAAGAGATGTCTGCATAATTATGCAATCAAGCAAAATAATTTTTTCATATGGAATGATTTTAAATTGACGTTCTATACAACTGGATAAATTTTCCCAGGTACAGGTAATTTTTCAGGTGTTGGTAAAAGTGTGGTTGTTCATAATAATGGAATGTTACAAGAGTGCTTGACAGGCTATAAAAAAATGCCAGAGAGTGAAATATAAGAAAAATTTACCAACAACTATTGGAAAATAGTTTCAATTTTACGATAATATAAAAAGTTGAAGACGACACAAAAGTTCTTATTGAAAATATTGCAAAATTTTGGATTGAACCCTTTCCTCCAAATAAGCAGGAAGAAGCTTCAGAACAATTTGTAAATAATGTTACTATGGAATCTGATTAAATGATCTGCCCTACCATTACAATTGTGTAATACAAACATTTCATATTTTGTCATTTATACTTTTTTATTTCTTTTTCTTGCACGATGGTGATAAATTATTTACGTTTTTCATTATTAAATAATGCCTGACTTTCATATTACCAAAATTATTATTAATATGCACAATTTAATTCTGTTAATCTAATAAGAAATTCAGTTAGAATCTTGTTTTGTTAAACTAGGTTTAACATTCGATTGTACAATGGATTACAATATTTGAACCAGGTTTTAAATTGACTGAAGTCCAACTCAACTTTTACAACTGGGCCAGATATACAAACCAGATAACTAATCTTCTACACAATTCAATATTCATATAAAGTAGTTCTTTCGTAAGGCTTTTTCACATTTTCAGTCTTGTTGGTGATAGTCGATAATCAAAAAAGGCCTTTTCACGTTTCAAAATATTGAGTGGGTTACTGACATCAGAAAAACTATTATTGACTGGTACCTCAATAAATGTGCATCTTTACCACATCAACTTCAAAAATTTAAATTTTTTACTGAATTTAAGATTTTAGCTCTTTTCTGATCAAATCTATAGAATAACTAATCTCACTCAATTTCTCCCAAAGTCAAACACTAACTGGTTGTTATGTTTACTTAATATATTTTGGCTGTTTCTTATGTTTTCAGAAGTAAGGTATAAAACTACTTGTATATGGCAGTGATAAGCAAGGAAGGTTATTACTGGCATATACTATTGTAACCATATCTCAAAATATTTAAAATACCCTTCACAACTGATGATCAAGTACCAACTTTCTGACATTGGAAAACGTCATTTCTATGTCAAATAAATATATTCAATTTCAGGAATTCTCATGATGTCCTATAACCCACAAAATGAACAAATTATAGTACGTTCTGATGGGAACATAACGGTATTTGGACTGAACAACCACTTTAAGACAGATATGCCTAGCAAATTAATATCGATTACAGCACCAGATGAATACAAATACACGATTCATAAAGTGAACAAAGTTCTCAAGAAAAACCTATCAATTAACATCAAAATACTACTGTGCAGTTGTATATGTTTTTGTTGTACGCTTGGATTTTCCATATGGCCGTCCGTAATGATCAACAGAAAGACAAAACGCCAAGTTAGGAATATACTGAAGGAAGAAAACGAACGAATATACCATCATCTTGGTCTACACTGGAGTTTAGGAAAAAAAAGTTTTGGACCTTTACCAACAGTGGAGTATGTGTTACAAATAGATTTTTTAAGTAAACCCCAATTGTATTTGCCTGATGGATGACATGAAAAAAGTATAGGTGTCATAGTGTTTAGGTAAATATATCTCGATTTAAGGTGATTTTTTCATTATTTGATTACGGATTGAGCGATCAACATGTTAGTGTTTTACAACGAGAATATTAGTTTACATCAAATACATGTACAGAATGTGAAATGACTTCAGTTCATCATTGCTATTTTAGAATCTACATTGGGAAAAAAATTGGTAATAAATGTCCTGAAGAAGTTTAGTTCATTGAAACATTATGCCAATTTGGCACTTCTGAGTTGAATCTAGCCTGTGGTTAATTTTTTTTTTGGGGAACGCATATACTTTCCTATTTTGTCTATGAAAGCATCGAAAAATGACATCATGTATTAAAGGTACTTTGAAAAATATGTTCAAATCAAGTAGTACATAGATATAATTTTATTACTTAGAAATGTAGTGTTAGATTTTGCCTTCTATGATAAACAAAAGTCATTTTATGTGTAAGGATAGCAGATGTTATTGATATTTTTAGGAATTTTCACTTTCCACAATCTGACACGAATAAAAATTGTGATGCAAAACTTTATACAGGTGTAGAAAGAAAAAACTTTTAGCTTACTTTGATAAATTACAACATAAATTCAATACATTTTTCACAAAGAAAATGTGTTCAATATCAACTTGTTGTATTCAATCATTTTACATATAAAAAAAAATCAAAAATCTGCCTACATCTTCTGAAATAAGACTATTATTTTTGGTTTCAGAAATCTGCAAGAAGTACGAAAAAAATAGTATAAAAACCATCGAAACTAAACTAGCTGAATTATATTATTATTAATAACAATTCGTATGCTTAAATCACTTGAAATAGCTAATGTTTAGCGAAACATGTTGTAATATATTTTTTCAATAAAGTTTATGGAGATCAAATCGTTTAGGTGTATTTTGTGAAATTACTATGGATCTTCATCAAGTAACAGACGAATCAATCAGAAAATTCGTATGCTATTCGATATATGCTCAATCTGACTTATAATAATAATAACAGAATTTATCCATCAATCAAAAGATTATACAAGACATCATACATACATACACATATAAAACTTATCAGATTAGTAAAAAAAAAAAAAGAAAGTAACCTAAGTTAGAGAGAATATTAAAGCAAAGTTTAGTAAACTGGTATCTTAACGGCACCATCACTTGATAAAGGTTGATAAAAACCAGAAATTATGAAAACTACTATGGACCAAAATTCTGAAACCTATAAGGTGTATTCTTACTGAAAGATTCCTAAAAATAATGAAAGAACTGCTTGTCAGAAAAGTGTATTATAACAGTGGAGAAGTCCTATCTGATGATGTAGTCTCTTTTCTGCCAGTGTTGCAGTAACAAATGGCCAAAAGTATTTTATATATTTTTAATTTGTAACCATGTCTGTGTTTACGACAAAGCTCTTTCTGACTTGTGTAAACATAAAAGTGTATAGACATGAAGTGTATTGAATTTTATTTCTTTCTTATATACAATAGATCCCAGAAGCCATATAATGAATTCAGACATCTGATCGTGACCTGCAACTGCACAATAATAAGGCTATTGTATAGCAAAACACATGTTGCGGTTTTGTAAACTATCTAATGGAAATCTGAAAATAAAGAGTTACTTGATTAACTTTTTTGTGGTAATGGTTTCTTGAATTAAACTACAATTTATTTGCTAAAAAGAAAGTTGTTATATTTACGATTTTGTTTTAAACAGTTCATTCCACTCTCTACACGACTTTTCTCTGGCAAGTTTTTATTAGATCATGACTCATAAACTATTTTGTCTCAAGTCAGTTTTGACTCAAATCAATGTATACTGTTTTCTTCATAATTTGTGCAGGGGTCCTTCGAAATTAAAAAAAAAAATTCAAGAAAACAAAACTGCAAGATATAGGTATTTGGTTTTTATTTAAATGACAAAGGGAGATTTTTTCCGAAACCAAAAAACATGCTTCTTTGAGAAAAACAATGGAATTATGCAAAAACTCATAGGGGTGAACTAAAAGTTTGCCGTGCCTACAGCTAAAGTTCCTCTTCACATTTTTTTTTCAAATTGTGGAAAGTTCAAATCACCTATATTACTAAAATTTAGGAATGGTGAAAAAATATCTATCACTCTTTGTATTCCATTCAATTATCTTTGATATGGAATGAAGTACCAGAAGGCTTTTTTTATATTCTGATTAGTTTCAAAAAAATACCTAGTATTCAGGAAATTTAGATTTTAAACTACATTTGCAATGTTGTGTTTTAATTATTGCTTCTATTTAAAAAGTGAAAAATGTGTTTACTATTATTTAAATTCGTGTTAATTCAGTCAACAGCTGCTCTCAAAAGTTGTCGTGGACTTGTGCGAGCTAAGAATACACTTCATCAACGACAAAAAACAAAAGTGCGTCCAAAGCATTGGACATACAAAAAAGCAAGAGAGTTGCACTAGATTCCAAACTGTGGTATCTGATAAGTTCAGAAAAAATAATGAAAATTTTCACAATTTTTACGGTTATAACAAAACTGCCTAATTCATTTCATTCACAATTGAGCACCTTCTGTGAATTCCTAAATAGCAATGTTGGATAGACAAAAAAATATATTATTTAATTTTATGACAGACCTCTGATGAATTAATAAAACATTGTCACCTATGGAAAGTAATCAAGTGTACCTGATTAAAATATTCAGTACAAAAATTCTGAAATTTTAGTAAATTTAAAAAATAGGTTGAAACTCAATAATACAGTTTATTGTATGATTTTCACTTTAACGGGTTTTACAAAAACCGTTACAAGTGTTTCGCTATACAATAGCTTTCTCAAACTTAAAATAATAAGTTACTTCTAAAACACAACTATTTTATACATTAACATACCTGAAAAGGTCAGGTATAAATTCATTAACTATATGACTAAATTAAATTTTCGAAAGTAGGGTAATTATACTTAACTTTCCTTACCTGGAAATAAACAGATTCAATAATGTCGAATTGTTCAGTTTGATTGTTTATAAGATATCGAGAGTTTTAAGTTTAGGTGTAAATTAATGTTCATTAAGAATAACAAAAATAAACGTTCAGTTTCAGAAAAATCGGGAGTAAACAAATTATCATGTGGGTCATGTCCGATGTTTTATATAGGTCAAACTGGAAGAACGTTCAAAGCCTGCATAAAGAATCACAGAAATAGTTTCCAGAAAGTAAAAATAAACTCCACATATGCCACTCATTTAATCACAGAGGGACCTAAGTTCAACCATGAGTTCAAGCCCCTCCATTTCCAGAAGAAAGATTTAAAGCTTAACCTGGTGGAGAGTATGGAAATCAATTTTTAAAACTCTCAATATCTTATGAGCAATCAAACCGAACTGAATAATTCGCCATTTTTGGATCTGTTTATATTCCGTTAAGAAAAGTTAAGTATAATTACATTACTTTCGAAAATGTAATTTATTCATGTAGTTGATGAATTTATACCTGGCCTTTTCAGGTATTCACTCATTAGAAAGTAGGCATACAAGTAGGTAATATGTTAAGAGTATAAAATAGTTGTAATTTAGAAGTAGCATATTATTTTACGCTCGAGAAAGCTGTTGTATAGCGAAACACGTGTCACGGTTTTTGTAAAACCCAATATAGTGAAAATAATACAATATTATTGAGTTTCAATATGGATTTTCATCAAGTATCGGCCAGTTCTATTCAATTAAAATTGGTTATTAAATTGATGGATGTAGCCGCTACTACGTGGTGAGAAATCATAATGAAGAAAAGAGAAATAAAACTTTATGTTTTTTACCACTTTTAAAAGTAAAAAACAAAAAGTTTCATTTCTCTTTTCCTCATTGAAGTTGGTTGATATCTGATGTTTACCAATCAGACAAGTAATGTATCTAGTTTCTAGCAGTCAGTCCCTTGGCATACAATAAATTTTTTATAATGGTCACAATGTTTCAAGATCACACAACTTGAACATGGTTAAAATCATTATGTTCGCACATTATTCAAATTACCTATAGTCTGTTTCAATAATAATGTAGGGTAAATTCTCAGAACACTAATTTTCGAAACCTCGAAATACAAAGGCGTGCATAGAGAGAGAGAGAGAGAGAGAGAATATGCTTTATTGTATACATGATAAATCATGGTTACAAAGCTTAAAAATAGTACAAAATAATACATATAAAATATTAAAATCAGTACAAGGTGTGTGTACACACACACCAACTCGAGTTAGTAGAATTTAGACAAAAGTATTTTCTTTATCGTATATTCAATTTGTATTATAGTGACTAGAGAGAAAACTATCTGTGATAGCAAGGTGACTATTGATGCAGATATTTTCCTTTTACTTGATAATTTATGTACTTTTCACATGAAACACTGATTTGCAATTCATTTGAGAACAAGATGTTATAAAGAGGTGATCTACTATGAATCGGATGTTGAGAAATTATTTTATTTAGGACAAATTAATAAAGATAATCTGGTTTGTTATATCCCAAATATTGTAATTTTTGTGGAACTGAAAATGTAAGATGAATTTAAAATCATATATTATGATTTTTGTTTATTCAACTGATACTGTGCAAGGTCAATTATCAAGTGTTATGGCAGATCATTTGAGATGAGGCCTCCATTAAACTCACAAAACATCTCAGTTATGGGAAAGAAAGGCTCGTTGTATCGCATCCCGTAAAGGCATGCGCAAACAGAATGATATTTTTCAAGTGCTTATTATTTCTGGTTTCATAAATAACATCCAACTGTTTGGTAGATGCTCGTGGTTTCCACATTGTAATATTTGAATTCTCTAGTGTCAAAGCTTTCAATAAAGCAGCAAGATATACATCAGTCTCAATTACAACTGCAATGGCCAGCTTCACGATCTCAATCCATTTTTAGACCTCTCATTTGAACCTTACAATTAGGATACAAATTACCCATAGTCAATAGTTTTCATTTCATCAATTATGATGTCAATGATGAAGTTATTATCATAGATGAACACTTCAATCTAGCAAACCACTATTATAATCTTCATGCAGTCATTGTTCACTGTGGTTCTGGCGTTGAATCTGGCCATTGTTAAACATTGGTCAAAGATGAAACAGACTGGATTAAGTTTGACGATAGTCGTGTCACTGAGTGTTGTGGTGATGTCTTGATTTATTGGAGCCTCTGGAGACACCCTACATTTTGTTTTACGAAAGAGAGGACATTGGCAAATCAAGATATTCAGATGATGTAGTGTTGCAGGTTTTTCCGGGTTTTCCTGCAGCTGAAAAAGCAAATGCGTCACTGGAATCAATAAAGTCGCTCCAGAGCGCCAATTAATTTATATTACTCCCCTATGTTATTATATATAGTAAGACACTTGTTGCGGTTGTGTAAACGATTTAGCAAACATCTCACAATAAAATTGTAACTTTAATATATTATGGGTTTTCATTAGGTTTCGACCAATTTCATCACATATCATAACGATGTGATTTTCTCAAAAAAACATTTAAATGTATAAAAACATAGGCTTTTACGGCCAGAGTTCCGATTTGAGATGTCAAAATCCGGGCTGGTAATCCCTGGTTGAATGGAAGTTTTGGAATCAATCGTTCTATCTGTTACTGCGGCAGACATCATCAGTGCATGCGCCTTTTTATTTAGGACAAATTAATAAAGATAATCTGGTTTGTTATATCCCAAATATTGTAATTTTTTGTGGAACTGAAAATGTAAGATGAATTTGAAATCATATATTATGATTTTTGTGTATTCAACTGATACTGTTCAAGGTCAATTATCAAGTGTTATGGCAGATCATTTGAGATGAGGCCTCCATTAAACTCACAAAACATCTCAGTTATGGGAAAGAAAGGTTTCCTAAAAATTATTCTCTCCTAAATATATACCCTTTCAATTTAATCTCAGTTATATATAAAGCTTATTACTTACAGAGACATCTTAAATGAAAACACCTAATGCTCTTAAAATCTGTAATAAGGTACTGCATCTCCTGGGTTCTGAATCAGTTGCAACCAACACACTTTTAAAAACGTTTTTTCTCTACTGAGAGGCTTCATAAGGATTACAAACTACTAAAAATGCATGGTATGTATCCTTATTGATGCTCAATAGGAACTGGTTGAATTGGTTCAAATTATTCCGAAATGTTCCTTGGAACATGCTGAAAAAACTTTTTCATGACGAGAACAACAAACCATGGACAAACAATATAGCAAAAGTTGAATTGAAGGGGTTATATTTTTAGGAGTGATTAATTTTTGGAAAAGAAAGTTTTTGGCTTTCTACTACTCCATCTTGATACAAAAAACAAAGATGAGGGAATCTTCCAAGGAAAGAAAGGAAGTAATAAATTTTAAAGTAAGTAACTCTATACATGAATTGTAGATCATGCAAAGAAGTAACTTTCAGACACAAACTGAAAGAAAGTCCTCCTGAAACAGCTACTTTCATATAAACATTGAATTACACGAAAGTGTCATTCAGAAGTTAATGCATTCTTATAGATATCAAAAATGTAGTTTCTACCTATAAAAAATATACATGCACTACTTTTGATGCAGTCAACTTACTGACTGAACAATTCTCGTGAATAACATTTACTTTATTAAGTACTCTAGGAACTCTACAAATCATTTCCAATGAATCGAAGTGATGAACCATTATTTTCCAAATATTTTTTTCATTTGGTACATACTGTAATTCTTGGAGAATGATTTCAATTATTTTCGGCATAAAGTTACCTTGAAGCAATTTTGAAATATTCTCATTTAAACTTTGTCATTTTCCCCGTTATTATTGCATTCTTTCAGCTTTGAAATGAATGTGTGAATCAGAATATTCAAAATAAAGTCATTGCTAATGGAATGGTCTTTTAGGTTTATAAAATTTTGGAAATTAGAAAACTCGAACCAAAGTCATCAGAATCAGTTTGTATACTAAAATATTCTTACCAAAATTTTTTTGTATAAACCATCTATACTATCATCATCAAAGGGCAATGCTCCCACCAACAGAGTATACAGTAACACTCCCATAGCCCATATGTCTACTTCAGTTCCTAAATACTGTTTTCCCAATACCAGCTCAGGAGCAGCATAAGTAGGAGATCCGCATGATGTACTCAAAGGATTTTCCATGCCTCCTTCAGGTTTTGCACACAAGCCAAAATCAATTAGTTTCAAATTTTGATGCTTATCAAGGAGTATATTTTCCTGTAACGAAAATTAGAGTACAGATACGCCTAATTCTAACCAATAAGTTTTTTTCATATAAATATGTTTGATTCAGATCCCACTGACTGAGAACACCCCAGTTAGGCTATATAAAAAAAAGTTTAAAGCTGTTTTGATTTGCCATAAAAATGATATCAATGTTACTTGAGTTAATAATGATGAATTCTTAATAGGTCCATCAAGATTTATTCTCTATTGACTGGAATGGGGACTCTCCTACGATAAATGATGCCAATATCAGCTTCTATGCAAGTTCGTGAATGGCTGAAAAATAATGTCTGAAATACTCAGTGAATATTATTATGCACAATATATGTAGTTTTTCACTATTATGGAAACCATGAAATCCCTCTTGGCAGCTTTTGATCATATTTGAGGTTGGGATTTCAGAAAACCTACAATAAGTAACCTAAATCACAGTCTTCTTCAGATTTTATTTCGAACAAATTGTTTCTTCCTATTTGTACTCGAATATAAACAAGGTTGTCTGAGGAAATTGCAAAAATATGCATGTGAGCAGGAGGTACCGAAATATAGAAAATAACACAATACATTGTGGATATTGCTTCATAATGAAATATTTATTCAAAATTGAAATTCCATTGTAGCAATTGATTGAAAATATATTTTCTGAATTCAAGAAATCGAGAGTTTTTTCATCATTCCAGATAATTATTTTCAAGACAATCTTGTATGTATGTACATGTATGTGTGATATTAATATTAGTTGTTAGTCAAATGTTACATAGATAAGTTTGAATATTTACTCTTAGATGATAGAATTGCTTATGTTATGTTTTCAAATCACTGAAATTATTTCAAATTTGTTTCATTCAATTGAAACACATGTTGTTTTACTATTTTTAACTATAATGCATTTTAAAAGTGTTTGTAAATAATTTTAATATGTATGACTAGAATAGGTGTTTACAGTTCATCTGTTCAAACATGCATAGAAGTTTCCTGAGTAATGTTGCTGTTGAAATATAAACATTGTCATTTTTGTACGATCTGTAAAATATGGTGAATTTTCCAAAATACAGCAGTACACTTTTCACAGTTTTTATTGTTTGTTGGTTAATGAGTAGATGTAGAAAATTGTTTTGATTGTCAGATATCCTTGATGATCAATTATCATTTGGCTCAGAATTATAACTGAAACATTTTTTGAAGCCACAAATATTTTGAAAATTATTCCGAGTCGAAGACGAGGAAAAAACTTCTGAATAGTGATGTACTGTGAATGTTTACATCTTTTGGTATTCGTCAAATAAAAAATAAATAAATGTTAACTATAAACAGAAGTGTTGATTTGCCTCAAGAAGGAATATTTGAATCGAAAGGGGGATATTTTTTGGAGAGTTTCCAAAAAGAAAAGCTTTTTGGCTTTCTATCTTCATTCAAAAAATGTTGGAAACTCCCGAAGAAAGCAATTAAGTTCCAAATACACTTCACAATCTGAAAGAAAAAGTCTTTTCACAAGAACATTCGATTGCACGAAAGAAAAAGTTCTTTTGAAACAACTAGTTTATATGAACATTGAATTATACGAATAATACTTTTTTCCATTGACATTAAACGTCAATTTTAGTGACTTTCGTCGATCATGGGAATGAATGCCTAGACTATAAAAAATAACTTTTTCTTCAACTCTTAACAATAATTTTCAAATCAAAATACAGAACATAACAAAAATGTAAGTAAATGAAATTCTATAATATTAATGATTGTTGTGGATATTGATAGTAATGTGCGCACAATTTTTCAACATATTTCCACTGACTTAATAATCTGTTTTGCCATTTGTAATAATAGTATAATTATTTTTATTCATTTGTGAAGTACTGCTAAAACCGACGATATTTCCTTTGGGGTCCGTGAAAAATCACTAACATTTGTTTTTGACGTTGTAAAAAGGCTCACAGTTCAATATATTTGGATATAGTATTGTTAATATGCAAAAGTAATCTTTATAATAGAATACGTAGACCATAAAGTCGAAAATTTCAATGCATTCGATAATTCTACAAAGTAAGCCAGTAAAACTTCATTACAGTAATACGTAAATTGTCTATAACATATTAGCAGATTATAATTTGTAGACAAATTATAATCTGCTTCTNGTAGAATAATTTTTAAATAAGAACATCCACCAAGATCGGATCATAAACATGTCAGCTAGTACCTAACAAAATCTTCTACTTACCTACATATGTGTAGTTATTTAAAGAAAAAATGTTGAGTCATGAGTTATGTTGATTATAGAACAGGAAAATTGGTAATGTTAATTTGTATACATAGTTAAATACTTTGCAAAATTATCACCCAGAATATGTTTTACTACCATGAGAATGTTCTTGTTCTCCTGCAACAGAAATTTCAACTATTCCACCAAAAAAATGTTAATTACTAGTATCCAGCAAAACTCCTCCCACACACCAGAATTACGACGTTCTCCTCGACCCGTGTTCCACACAGAAAAAAGTCATTCAATGAGAGAATCAAACATCAACAAGCAGCCTTGATAGTCAGAAACGTTGAAGAAAGGTTAGGGACTTGTGTATCTGCTACAAATACTGTGTATTCAACTGGTATAGCATGCTTGATTACATATTTTTCGTTTCAACTCGTTCACTGGATCAAGAAATAATTTTTTCAACAGAAAAGTGCAAAAATAAAATAATTATATTTGCAAAAAATTACCAAAATACCTTTGTAGTTCACCAACATCTTTGGCTCTTCAGCTGAAAAATCCGCAGAGAATATATAATAAATACATATTACAAGTATTTGTGTTTGAGCCCGAGAATTATTTGAATTCTCATTTCAATTCACTGAAGAAAACTTAAATATCGAAATGATATAAATTTAGAATCTTGTGACAATATTATAGATATGTTTCTTTGACTAACTTATTCAACATCAAACTGTAACGTTTCACTGACATTTCAATGTGATATCCCCACAATGTAATGTTGTGTGTGACAAAAAGTGTGTGGTTAGTAGCTATATTTCTAAACCAAACTTTTTGTTGTTCCACCATATACACTGTCTCAAGTAGAAGGTATGTACAAAAACCCTGACTAGACAACTCTCCTATCGATTGGTGTTACCAGGCAATCCCTGACGTTACTTTTTCTACTTGATACTGTTTTATGTAAAATTTTATGAAGAACATAATTTCGTATAATCTCTTATATATTTTCTCTTGTTCTTTGTTCTCATTCCGAGGTTTGTGATAAACCTCTATTGCCATATATCCCGTTTCATCAACTCGTTCTATTTGGAATCTATTTCAATGTATATTAACACTAGATAAAGAACATTTTAGATGGCTAATTTTACGCAAGTTCTGACTTATACGGGTTAGTCTTTGCATGGAAGCTACAACTGATCCGGTCGTATAAATAAAATCATCTAGTGGTAATTACACAAAAGTTTTTTTATTCACTTCATTAAAGTTTTTCAAAACCATTTTGAAAGTCTGAAAAAATATTTCTGAAGCTTGGCATATTGATATACTTACAGGTTTGAGATCGCGGTGAGCATACCCAAGACTGTGTAAGTAGGCCACTGCTGACACAATTTGTCTAAAAAACATCCTACTCTCCGATTCTGTTAGTCTATTTTTCTCAACAATATGATCAAAAAGTTCACCTCCTGAGCAGTACTCCATGATGATAAAGAAGTGTGTATCAGTTTCAATTACCTAAAATTATCACAATTAGAAACTACTGTTTTATAGGGAGGAAAATCTGGAAATAATAAAATCTGATGAGAATTACATTGCCCAATCCTTTCAACGCCGGATTATTAAAAAAAGTAATGTTTTTCAAAATAATACTTTCTTAGAAACTACTGGAAAAAACTGGAAACAGTTTCTAGAGGGTTTTTTTTTCCAGTTTGTGTCTGAAAGTTACTTCTTTGCATGATCTAAATATATTTATATGAAGTTAATGTTTTTTGAAATTGATTGTTTCCTTTCTCCTTTCTTTGGAAGATTCCCACATATTTTTTTTATATGAAAATGGAGTAGTAGAAATAACTTTCTTTCCCATCCATTATAACATATTCAATGCTATTGTATAGCATATTTAACTATACAATAGCATCCTCAGGCGTCACAATACTGACTAAACAAATTCTGTGTCATGACTATTACTACTACTATTAAGATTCAAAATTATTATAAAAGCATGTCCTAGAATTTGTTTAGTCAGTATTGTGGCGCCTGGAGGTGCTACTGTATAGCGAAACACGTGTTGCGGTTTTGTAAACTGACAAGTGGAAATCTCACATTCAAGTGTTTTTTTAATACGTCAATTCATTAATCATCAAATTACATGGTATATACAAGAGAACTCTCAATGATAATTGGAATAATCATGCAGATTTTCAGTAGTCATGTAAAATATTGAATGAAAACTTTTTAAGTTGAATAATGATGATCTTGAAGTTAGAATGAAGCAGAGTAGAACTCACTTTCTGGTATACACTTGAAAATTAAGTATATTCAAGATTTTCGACTCAGATCTCAAAATGGTTGAAAGTGAAAAGAGGAAGATTACATCATACATCCCTTTATCAAAAACAATTTTCCTCGCTTTGAATCTGAAAGTTTTTTGTTTACACTGTGCACTGGGGTTCAAGTTCTAGCATATAACGGATTGGAATAAGGTCTTTATTGGTGTCACACTTTTGTTTAGCTGTTAGAAAATATCCACTGGTTATATTCAAGTTGTTGAATTTTTTAATTTCAATTGGAAGAACTTGGCAATTTGTAATGGTCTCCTTGAATTTTAACATCTCGATTTCACAAGGAACATCTTCTTTCACCTTTGAAAATATGATCTCGTGGCATAAATAGTTTTCTGATGTGATTTCTTGACACTCGATGAATAATATGTGAATTTTATCTCTTTGGATGAGAAATTTGAAGTGTGGGATATTGGTTTGAAAATATTTTTGAGGAACTGAAAGGGGATATGAATGGTTAGAGTTTTACAATAGGTACCTCAACTGATTTGCTTTGCTGAAGCTTCTATTTTCAATTATATTTCCAAACATGAGAATATTTTCGGTTTTTGTTCAAAAAGTAATTTTTTCTTTAGCGAACGCTTATTTATTGATTTGATTTCTTTCACTTAGCTCATTTGGCCTAACCATTGAGTTTTGAAAATGATCAGTTTTTATTTTTGAAAGTATGTAAGATATCATTTGAAATACAACAATTAATAGATAAATTATGTTATGTATTGAAATTCAGTTCTATTTTCATTAAAACATTTTTTATTTTTGAAATTATGTCCTTTGAAGTAACTTGATTTAAAGATATAGTTTGAGTGCTTTTATTAAAAGTATCAATGGATTTTTGAGAGACAGTCGTCTATTCATTCTGAATCGTTTTAAGTTTTAGTTGATTTTCTGGAAGAAGATTTACTAAATTATATCTTTCAGCACCATCTCGGTCTAAATTACCACTTATGGCTTTAATTATAGATCCTAAGCCAGTAATAAGGCCACATTTCATTCTTATTTGATTAATTAATGGGTTTAGCTGATTTGATTGGGTTTTGGTGGATGGTCAAGAATCTTTTCTGTTTTCAAAATATGGATGTCTTTGACTGGGAAAATTTGTGAGTTTAAATGGTTTGAGGATTTTGAAGTACTGGTCTTGTGAGATATTTGTTACAGGTGAAAGGGTCTACTAAAATTATGTTTAGAATTTCTTAGTGTAATTCTTTATGATTATATAAAATTATTTTGGGAATTCATATCATTTTTGACTATAAAACAAATTTTCTTCTTCAATAACAAGAGACATTGCTACTTCTAAACTATCTGGTTTTTTTAGTCTTACATTATTTTGCAATTGTCTATCTGACACTCTCATAAAAGTTTTAAAAGGTAAGTCATTATAATTCTGAAGTCGTTTTCAACTTTACTTGGATCTAAAGCCATTGATGTCCATTTAGAAATAAGACTTCTAGGATATTGACAACGTATACCAAAGTTATATAGGGTTCATTTTTTAATGGATGCAAAGCAAGTAAATCTAATACTAACCAATCAATATTTCTTTGATAATATCCAAAATTCAACTCGATTACTTGCTTAATTTCATTCCAGGTGATAAGCTCTATTTGTGAACCAATTAAGCTAAGAGTGCTACCTATTATTTTCCAATAATTGCAATTCAAATAAAAGTATTTATTTTAAAGTTTAATTTCAATCATATTTCAACAACCATCCAAAAATATGTATTAGTATTTTCTTCAAAATTTGAAATAACATCATTATACAATCTCAAAAGTTGATAATTCACTGGACGAGGTGTCACTGCTTCTACTGGTTGAATATAATTTATTTGAGGAGGTATTTGATTCAGTTGGAATCGAATTTGGTTTGTTTGAGGTAATTTAGGAATGCAGCTAATCATGATCAGTTCTTTCTTTGATTTAATCTGTTTGTCTCAACTTACAGATGTTTTGAAGACACAGAAACTGAAAGAAAAATTTTTTTGAAGAGACTAGTTTTTAGAAAAAAACTTTTGGCTTTCTAAATATTTCTCCATCTTCATGTATCACTGCAATTTCAAAATTAACAAAATCTTAAAGATTTTGATTTGTTTCTGCCAGCAACCTCCAATTTAAAAAAGGCAGCACATGGAAAGTGTGTGCCTTGGTAAATAACCCAAATATTCAATCCAAACAAGAAGCAACAAATTGTTCAATATGTGGAGAGGAATAAAATGGTCCTAAAATTATTGCAAATTCAAAATTTTTAAAAAGTGAATGATTTCGATTTGGTTCAGTTAGTTTAACGGTAAAGCTAGCAAAACCCATCATTTTAAAAACACAATGCATTGAAAGTCGTCAATGGAGGTCATAAAAGCGTTAAATGAGCCTTCAATTTTCAAAGTATTTTTATTTCATCCATAGTTGAAGAATGTTTTAGAAAAATTATTTCTGTTTTATCATGTGTCTGAGGTAATCACCCAAATATTCAATTCAATCGAGATGCAAAAAAAATTCAATTTCACCATGACGGAGCCTAAATTGAGCCTACAATTAGTGCAAGTTCAAATTTTCTCGAAGTGAAGTATTTTGATTTTGCTCTGCCAGCTCAACAATAAAGCTAACAAATATCTGTTTCAATATCGTTAATACTGTTTGGAATACAAACTGGTTCAGAAAAAGTGTTTATCTTGATCCACATTTGTTTTCTTTCAATCGTTCTCCAGAAGTTTTACACATTTTATAAAATTATGAGACTAAGAAAGCTAAAAGGTTTTTTCCTTAGGGACTCTACCATAATTGTATATCAGCTAACTTCCAATCATTACTCACCTATAAAAAAATAAAATTTCAAACTTATTCAAGGTGGTTAGTTACCTTACCTGATATAATTTACAAATATGCTCATGTAGTACGTTCTGTAGAGCTTTCAACTCTAACTTCACCCTTGACAAATCAGACCCAAGTTGAGCTTTCTGCATAATTTTTATAGCTACTTTTTCACCAGTTGCAATATGGGTGGCTAACTTGACTTTTGCGAAACCACCAGATCCTATTGTCCTATCTAATTCATAAAATCCTTTCAGAGAATAATGTCGAACCATTTGGAAATATATATTTTAGTAGTTATCCTCACAGCAGTTCACAAGTTGTGCAAGATGTTATGTTTATAGAATTTGAAAAACAATAATTCCAGAAAAAACTATTGCATCAAATGACGTTAACTTCCACAGATATTTTCTATTTAGAATTCATATATAACATTTCAGGTCATTTGTATTTTCTATTTTCAAAACTTGACATTTCCAGTAACCGGCGAAATTCAAAATCTGCACTTGACATTTGTGACATTCGTCCAATGTTGCCATTGCCTTAGACCTCTGCCACAAACATTGTCTTGTTCCCTCTTCTTCTTCCTAATTTTTGTCCCAGCTTCCAGATTAGGCTATTATGACCAGTGCTCTTTTGATTATAGTGATAACTATAATTAAAACTTTGACGGGGGGGACACCTTTTTTTATCAAAACTTTTTTTAACACAATATTTTTTGTTGACTCGCCTCCTGCCTGGGAGACTTTTGGACATTTTACACATAATTTAACACATATGTCTGATGAAATCCAGTCCCCACGTGGACATCCGGTCCACCCCGGCCTCCAACCGGCGTGAATGGGGATTAGAGTTATGTAGTTCCACTGTAACACTCCCACGTGGCCATTCCTGACCTGCAACCGGCGTTAATGAGAGTGACCCCCATGCCCCCCAGGTTGAGTGCCCTGAAGTAGAAGCTTCCTCCCCCCAGCTATTTAGCGAGGAGAACCTACTACCTCACTCCATCCACCCCCGCTCTCCGAGCGGTCCTCAACTTGCTGATGGGCACTACAGCAAGATTGACATCTGACCTCTTTTGGTCGAAAGTCAGTCTTTAGGTGCTTTCACTTTCTTATCTAATCGTTGTTTTATCTGACTATTCCTAACTGAATTTAAGCATGGGGTCCCCCAAAAACTAACCGGCGGCTTTGTGTTATGCATCGAGCGTTTCTCAGTGCATCCAAGAAAACTGTTTAGAGTCGCTATCACGGTCGAAGTGTTCTTCGCTGAACCTACCTGGAAGAGAGTGTATCTGGTTAGTTTTATACTTACCTGAGTCGCCTGACGGCAACTAACGGTGGCGGTCTGTTGTTCTGTTTAGTCGGCCTGGGATGTTTGTCCCTTTCTCGGAATCTGGGGTCATCCATATTTAACGCATCGTGTAGATCGCGGAACGCTGGATTTGAGTGCGATCTGATTCTATCGAACGTGCTTTCTGCATGTTCTCTCATATACACGTCCACATATTGCGTGTTCAGGTCTAAGTCTCTGTATATAAATCTGTTGGGTATATAATAAAGTGCGTTTACAGCGGCCCTTACGCTCGCATTCATAAACGATTGGATCTTCTTTCTGTATGTCTGCGCACACTGGCCCCAGGCTGTGCATGCATACAGTATTATTGGCATTATAATCGTTCTGATCATTAGTAACTTGACTTTCAATGCCATGTTACTGCTTCTTCCTATGATCGGCGCCAGTCGTCGTTTGGCCTGTCTGGCCATTCCTATTATCTGCTGTACGTGGGCCTGGAATGTTAGTTTCTTGTCTAGGATGACCCCCAGGTATGTCGCTTTAATGAGAGTACTGTTTCTCTTTAACACTTATAAGAATTTTCACAAAGAATGTTTATTTCATTGATGACACGTTCTATGACGGCGGACAGTCACAACACAAAACTGAGTTTCATCTCCAAAAATGGCGTTTGAACAAATTCCGAATAAAAAATTAGTAAAGTATTTCGAAATCAACAGATATTTTAGTGACTCGCAGTTTGGTTTTAGGGCTGGTAGCTTAACCACAGCAACGGTAATGGATAGTCAGTGGCCTAGTCGAGGCCCTAGAACAGCGGAATCATACAGCTATCACGTTCGTTTCAATAATAGTACATCGGATTTTAAGGAAATGAATCATGGTGTGCCCCAAGGCTCTGTCCTGGTGCCACTTTTATTCATTAGTTAGGTTAATGAGCTAAGCAACTTCATGACTTCCTTCAAATGTGTTCTCTTTGCCGATGATACGTCATTTATATATTCGGGACCAGATCACCACGTTTTATAAGTCGATCTAAAGAAAAAGTTGAAACATAGTTCAGAGCCCACAATCTGAAACTAAATAATGACAAGTCTCAGAGACTATTCGTAACGACCCGTCAGTGTCAACAACAAGATCAGAATGTAGAGTTACTTGGTGTTACTTTGGACTCTCAATTGAATTGGAATGCTCTTATAGAAAAATTCAAATATAAACTGTCAAGCATATTATTTATTCTACGACAGCTCAAGCATATTTCAACAGTTTATTTCTCACTGTTTCAGTCTCATATGGGTTACGCCATTTCACTGTAGGGAAAATACTCGGCTGCTAATGCTATTTTCAATCACCAAAAATAGCAATAAGAGTAAATTGGTTAAGGCTTTCGCGGCCAAGATTTTCATTGTTACAATCTTCATTCGGGTTTGAAGGCCGTCGTGATTTGGAACTGTATCCCAACGTTTCGCCAGCTCTTCAGAGGTTTATTCATCTTGATAGTTTACCGGTGAACCATAAACTGTTTCTTATTTTTTTGTATGTTTATATGTTGTCATATTTTCTAATTATTTGCAAAAGTGTGTATTAGTAAATAGTATATACTTGATATATATTAAGACCAAATGACTTGCTATGAATATGTATATGATATAGTCAAGTAAATTATCTATCCATCTACTCTTACAGAATGTCTGAAATTTGAGTATTCAGTCCCTTTCTTCTCCCAAAATCTAAACACACACTGGATGTTTAAACTAGTATTTCCGTCATCAACACCTCCCCTCAGCAATAGTAACCCAGATACGATCATTTCCACAAAGGTCGTTGAAATATAGTTCTTTCATACCACAAGAATACATGTAAATTCTTTACTTTTCATCACTTCTCCGAGAGATTTTTTGATGATAATTTTTTGTTTCATTCCATTTTCTTGTGAGATGAGAGATCTTGTTGCAATGTTAATATTAAAAACAATTCTGACTCCATATCTGTAACCGATTCTCGAAATTTCTCAACCAGGAAACATTAAGTTTATCATCAGTTATCAGAAGTGGGGTCAGCATAATATATATATTCGGTTCACATAGGATAATCCTCATTGCTCATATTGATTGTAATAAATAATATATCTTCAAGTTCATGGTAAATCTCTTTTTTACGACTTTATTACCATTGTTTTGGTTAATAAAACTAATAAATCACTATTAGAAAATGAATCTAATTTGAGAAATCGAACATAGAACTCACCTTGGAGCTTTTTAAATTTCGTGTCAATATTGTTTTTTTCGACTTCAAAGAGAATTTCTATCAGTAATAAGAGTTTGAAATGACACCGATTCTTCTGCAACCTAAACAAATAGCACTAACAGTCGGTTTAATAGGTTGAATATCAATTCAACTTCCTGAAGATGCCGCCTTGCTGGCGAAATGCACGTTAGGTGCGAATTTTCAGTTGGTGTTTGACTGAGTAAGTATATTCTGGTGTCTGGTGTACCAAAATACCTTTGTAGTCCACCAACATCTTTGGCTCTTCAGCTGAAAAATCCGCAGAGAATAAAGAACATTTTAGATGGCTAATTTTACGCAAGTTCTGACTTATACGGGTTAGTCTTTGCATGGAAGCTACAACTGAATAATGAAAAAATCTATTTTTTACTGCTTTTCATCCGAAAAGTTGGGAAACACTCAAGTGGATAGCGGTCAACGAATCCAATGAACAATACAATGGAACATGACCAAGAAATACTCACTTAATTTTGAATCCTTGATGACCAAATATCTGTTTATATCCATAGTATAAAAAATATATTTTTATGTTTATATCGCAGATTTTGTGCCTTATTGGTAACACTGGAATTGCTGCTGTCTTTAAACCGCAACAAGTGACTTTTAGTTATAAACCGAAATAAAGTTGGGAGTTATTTATTGATGGTCATCCTGCAGTTGTTTTTCTAAAAATATAAAAATTCATGAAGTCTAAGATGTAAGGTTATGTATTACGTTTTCCAAGACAACTTTTTTAGAATTTATAATTCCTAACTTCGACAGTAATAGGTTTTAAAAATGTACAAATTTGTTAACGGCTCTAGATTTACTCGCCAGTCAGTATTACGTCAATGTTGCTGTGGAATGTCGAAAAATAGTGATACAGAAGATCCTGGAAAAGCCCTAGTAGTAAAAGATCTTCGATCGAAATTGAAAGAATCCAATTCAGTAACATCAGATCAAATGCAGTGGAGAACTTCTTGGCATCAGGAGCAAGGAGAGCATTATAGTTTTCTAAGAACATTTTATAAGGAATCAAATAACAGAAGTTTACTTCAAAAAATACAAAGCCCTATTGATTTTTCACCCTCGGGGATTAAGAAATGGTGGGGTAAAAAGGTTGATGAATACGAAATAATTTCACAGTCGTATATTCCAGAAAGACATCAAATTCTTGGAAATGAATTAGCAGCTGCTCATTTTATCGTTTACCGAGGGGGTGCAGTGAAGTTCTTCAATGAGGATAAATGGATTAAAGCTAATGAATATAAAGAATATAGTCTGCCTCGACATTATCAGACAGATAAATATCTTCAAGCTATAGATTGTTCCAACATGAACCTTCGATATGAAGGTCTTGTCAACATCCGAGGTCTGAAAAAAGTGGAGTGGTTAAGTCTTAATGGTTGTGACAATATGGACGACTGGTGTCTTGATACAATTAGTAATATTTTCAGCCACAGTTTGTTATATTTAGATTTGAGAAATTGTCCCAAGATTACTTATCGGGGAATTGGAGCATTGTATAAGATGCAAAATTTAAAAATTTTGTATTTAGATGACTTTTTAAAATCTACTGTTTATGAATTGACTTGCTTGATGTTACAAGAAGTGAATCCTGATCTAGATATTAAGAGTGACCCTGTGACATTTGAAATAAGTTAATAAATCGTTCAATTTGTAAATCTGCAGTCTTGTTAACATTTGTTAATCAAAATAATTGTTTTGTTACTGTTCTAGTGAGAGAAAAATATTTACTTCAGAATTTAATTGATATTAGCGTTTCTTAATATGACTAATAACCAGTACATGCAAAGGTTATTGTTAAATCATCTGAAAATGGAATTTTTAACAGGTGATGATCGACTGTATTGCCAAACATGCGCCAAACTGACTGTAATAAGGAAACAAGTATAGCTGAGGCACCAGTCAATCTAATAATAACACTCTTTCAAAGGTTTGAAATAGATGAACATTTCAATCTAGCAGACCACTGTTATAATATTCATGCAGTTATTGTTCACTGTGGTTGTGAATTTGGTCATTATTACACCTTGGTCAAAGAAGAAATTGCTGGTTTAAGTTTGATGATAGTCGTGTCAGGAAGTGTTCTGGCGATGCATTGAATCTATTAGAGCCTCAGGAGACCCCCTACATTTTGTTTTATGAGAGAGAGGACATTGGCAGATCAAGATCTTCAGATGATGTAGTGCTGCAGGTTTTTCCGGGTTTTCGTGCAGCTGAAAAAGCAAATGCCACTGGAATCAATGAAGTCGCCCCGGAGCGCCAAATAATTTTTATTGTTGTTTTTATTTTAATCGTCGTTTTATAATTTCACAAATAAAAATTATTGAAGATCTTAGTTCAGTTGATGGCAACTCAACTGATACTACATGAGAAAAGCTGAAGAGAATTCTAGTTCAATAACCCGACATAAATAATTGTCACCTCATTGAATGTCGATTGATCATTTGATATCATTATTTTGAACAAGAGCACACCCAGGATATAGTTATGGGGTTAGTTAGTTATATAATTTTCAGGAAAGTGTTGCAACTTCTTTTTCTCTGGTATCTGGTAGTTATGTCAACATAATGGACCTGATCATGAAGTACCCTACTATAACTTGAGGTTGCTCCTAAAATCAATTTTTTTATCTTAAACTGAAATCAGTTTATTTAAGTAGAAGGTAATTATGGAGGAAATTTTATCAAAGAAATATATGGTCATTTTTTTTCTCATCATGAATTTTTACTTGAAAAACAAAAGGGACTATTTCCTGTCCTTTCCTCTATAAATTGATGGATGCAGCCGTTACTATATGGTAGGAGATCCTTATTAAAAATGGGAAACAAAACTTCTTGTAGTGTTCTCTCCAGTAAATGAAGACGAGTATAGAAGAATGATGTATACTTATAAAGTGTCTTTGAATGTTAAGTTGATCAACATCTATAGAAGCAACATATTCTGTAGAAAAACGATTTAATGATTGATGGAAGATGCATAGAAACCCTGGTGTTTGAACAGATTCACTTTTGTTTTGTCGAAAACTCTCGACATTAAGTTGGCCCAACGTAGTACATATGTTGATAGATAGAGAAAGAATCGAATTTGTAGCTGGTATTTCATTCAAATCTTTAATCTATGGACTATAGACCATAATATGAGAAATCTTTCACTCAATATCAGTTTATTAAAATGTTAATAACATTGAGAATTGAAGGAATGATTTGACCTTGTCAAGCAGTGTCACATTCGAATGTACTCATCACCTCTGATGGAAGGCTGAAACTTAGCACCATATAGAAGTAAACACTTCTTTACGGTACTTAAAGGATCTCTTTATTATTTCTTCATCAAGTGTGCCGTACGCCGTACCTCGAAAGCTTTTGACAGATATATTCTGTGCAACTTGGTATTCTGTGATCTTGGTTTGATACAATGGCTGTCGACATCTAGCGTTAATTATCGGTACTTTCACAAAAACAGGAGCGACATCTGATGAAATGTGAATTTTATTGGAAATTGAAACTAATGAATATACTGTTGGAAATGTTACTGAAGTATTGATTCTACAGGGCCGTTATAAAGTATTTTACGTTGTAGGTCCGGTACGTGAGGAGTGTTTTACGGAAGATGTGACGTAGAGCCAAGTTCGGAATGTGAAGAAGTGCTGTATTAACATCTAACGGACATGTTTCCTATGATATTTTATTTCATTCTGCCTTTTTAATATTTTATGAATGAATTAAATTACATGGCTGTTCAAAATAATAATACCAAATTTAGTCAAGCAATATTTTTAATTTCTATAGTTTTACCTTCTACAAGTAAAAAGACCTAAAGATTATTAATAGGTATCAATAGAGACACCTTTAAGGTCCAAAAAATTTAAATTATCAATTTTAGTCGAAAGCAAATGTTAAAAATACTGATTTTACTCAAGCTAAATGATTGTACAAAATATTCTGTTACATCTTCAAACAATGCCGTCATTCAAATTCAAAAAACTCTAGAAATAGTTGTACTTACAAGGTTTAAGATATTTAGTAATGATCTAGCGTTGTTTCTTAAGTAACATATTCATCACTTATTTTAAATTAACTGCTTCACAACAGATGTCGAAATGGAGTTGAGTACTTAAAAATTGTTTTTTTATTCTGATATCAAAATGATCAAACCCGTCGTTTTTAACTTGCAACAACAGCCATAGAAAAAGCTAATCTACGGGCTGAACAATTTGCGTCCCACTCCACAGTCTATTTTCTGGGAAAGGCACCACCGACTATTACCACACTGGAATCCACGATGCCGGAAATTTCTTTTCGACAACATCTGGTCAGGCGAATTTTGAAACAGCTCAATATCAACAAGTCATCTGGTCTTAATGAAGCGACCGTCGTCGTACTTAAAAAATGCGCAAATGAACTCGCACCGGTATTTTGCAGACTTTTCAAGTTGTCTTACAAAAAAGGGGGTTTTCCTTCTTGTTGGAAGATTGCTCGTGTTCAGCCTATTTCCAAAAAAGACAAGAAAAATATTTCAAAGAAATATAGACCAGTCGTCGCTTTGCTATTAGTGATATTAAAAATCATGGTGAAAGCCGTAAACCGCCATATCCTTAAATATTTGGAAGGCTTTAATATCTTGAGCGAGATTATCAATTTGGCTTTCAAAAACAAAGATCAACAGGCGACTTTCTGTCGTATATTACCCATGTTTGGAATAACGCAATCGAGAAACATGGAGAGTCAGGAGCCTTTGCGCTTGACATTTCGAAGGCCTTTGACCATGTGTGGCACGAGGGTTTGCTGGCCAAACGTCGATGCTATGACATGTCGAATCATTTTTGGGTGTGGCTCGTCAGCTTCCTGGAAGAACTTTCCCACTTGTCTCGTTATTACATTTGCATCCCAGGATATCGGCTGCGGATGCACATCTTCACCGACAGCAGAGGTTGCATATCTTAATGAGTAATTTCGAATTGGGGTGAAAGTAGCCAGGTTCAATTCAATGCCACAAAAACCCAGGCATCGGTTTTCTCCAAAAAGGTAAATGTCTCCGAACCGGATATAATGATGACAGGTCAGATAATTCCGCTTTCTGCTTTGATAACTTTGTTGGGGGTTAAAATGAACACCAAATTGTCTTGTCACAATCATATCGCTGGAATTGCAAAGGCTGCTATTCAAAAGCTTGAAACAATGTTCCGAACCAGAAAATTGTACGTACACATCTCAGTAACTTTTGATGCTATATAAAGCTCAAATCAAACTTTCTTTGGAGTATTGTTCTCATGTATGGAGCTTCGCCCCTAAGCATACCCTGAAGCTGCTGGATTCCATCCAGAAAAGAGCCATCCGCCTGATTGGAGATGCGAACATCACTTGCAACCTCGATAGTCTGTTCAAATGACTTGGCACATTTGATTCCACCAAGAGCGGTACATATCAGAAATACGCGGCAGACTGTGGCTGCTCATCGTTCTGAGGTTCAACTCAGTACATCTCGAACTTCACTATTTAAGGACTCATCTTTCATCTGGAGAACGGCGTTTATGTGGAATAAACTTCCTGAGAACGTTTTTCCAAATGGATTTGGTCTCTAACGATTCAAATTTGAACACCAAATTGTCTTGTCACAATCATATCGCTGGAATTGCAAAGGCTGCTATTCAAAAGCTTGAAACAATGTTCCGAACCAGAAAATTGTACACATCTCAGCAACTTTTGATGCTTTATAAAGCTCAAATCAAACTTTCTTTGGAGTATTGTTCTCATGTATGGAGCTTCGCCCCTAAGCATACCCTGAAGCTGCCGGATTCCATCCAGAAAAGAGACATCCGCCTGATTGGAGATGCGAACATCACTTGCAACCTCGATAGTCTGGAATATCGAAGAAATGTTGGGGACTTGTCTCTCTTCTGTAGATACTTTCACGGAAAATATTCAAGTGACTTGACACATTTGATTCCACCAAGAGCGGTACATATCAGAAATACGCGGCGGACTGTGGCTGCTCATCGTTTTGAGGTTCAACTCAGTACACCTCGAACTTCACTATTTAAGGACTCATCTTTCATCTGGAGAACGGCGTTTATGTCGAATAAACTTCCTGGATTTGGTCTCTAACGATTCAAATCCAATATGAATAACTCATTTCGCACAGGCACCGCTCCTAGAGCGCCTTGAGGATTTCCCTGTAAAGCTTGCACGTGATCGAAACACGTGTCGAGGTGTTAAAATAACGGTTTGTGTTGGGAAAAAACTCCAGTAATATTTAATAATAATCATAATAATGATAAAGAACAAACAATTAAATGTATTTCTCCAGAGAAGGTGTTCGAAATGTCTACCAGCTTCTCCTGCACATAGGCGATACCTTTTCTGAACGTTTTTTGACGAATTAATTAGTTCAGTAGGAGTGAGAGAAGCAAAACTTTTCATCACTGCCGCTTCCATTTCGTATGTAGAATTGGTCGGATATTTGAAAATGAGATGTTTTAAACTTTTCCAGAGGTAAAAGTCCATAGGCGTAAGGTTAGGTGACCTGGCCGGCCAATGGTTGGATTCTGGGTTGGTCATCCAGTTATTGAATCAGGAATAGAGTAGTATTTCGTATAAATATTTACACGTATTTACACGAAATACGACTCCATTCCTGATTTATCAGTCACGTGTATGCAGC